ACCAAAAGTAACTTGAGGAGAAAAGAGTTTATTTCTGATTATAGCTTGTCGTCCATCATGAAGTCAGCACAGGAACTCAAGGCAGGAACCTTGAGGCAGGAGCTGAAGCAGAGACCATGGAGGAATGCTGCTTATTGGCTTGCTTTTTTTTTTTTTTAAGATTTATTTATTATGTATACAGTGTTCTGCCTCCATGTGTCCCTGCAGGCCAGAGGAGGATACCAGATCTCATTATAGGTAGTTGTGCTCCACCATGTGGTTGCTGGGAATTGAACTCAGGACCTCTGGAAGAGCAGTCAGTGCTCTTAACCATTGAGCCATCTCTTCAGCTTCTGGCTTGCATTTTTATACAACCCAGGACCACTGGTCCAGGGGTGCCACTTTCCTCGGTGGGCTGGATCTTCTCACGTCAATTAACATAATCAAGACAGTTATCCACATATATGCTTACAGGCCAACTTTATTTAGATAGTCCCTCATGGAGATTCTTTTTCCAGGTGGTGCTAGACCATGCCATGAGGACAATTAAAAATAACCATCATGGTGACTAAGATGCTTTTGTTTGTATCCTGGAATCTACTGTTTTTGCAGGAAATTTTTAACAAAATGCAGAATGATCAATTCACAATCTGAGAGTTTCTTCTTATCATTTTATTTATTATTATTATTTTGTTGTTGTTTTGAGACAAGTCTCAGGTAGCCATAGCTGGCCTCAAACTCAGTATATAGCTAAGGTTGGTCTTGAATTCCTCATCCTACTTCCTTTGCCTTCCAAGAGCTGGGATGACAGTCATGTGCCATAACACTTCACTTTCTGTCCACCATGTTCGTGTGTCTCTATGATGATCCAGTTGTGTGTGCAGAGTTTGGAAGCACTTTCTGCATGCTGTAATGTTTCCTTTTTCTTTAAAAAAATCTCAATATGTTAATTTGTTCATCTAGTCATTCTTATTTATTGACTATTATTGAATATGATGTTTGGATATTCAACAAGGAACAACAAAAAAATATTGTCTGCTACTCATAAACTTAAACTCAAATCTCAGGGTTGAGCACTAAATACCAACAGGGCCTGTCTGTATGGATAATTAATTGCTCATGACACCTCTCCAGTCTTGAACATTGCCAATGTAAACATCATACCAGTCATTTACTAATATATTGAAGAATGTAATAACTTTCTGCTTTTGAAAGTCACTAAGTCACTATGGATTTTAAAACAAACAAGGGGAGCAGTTTGGTCTTAGGAACGGGTTTGGAGACAGTCTGCTGAGAGCTCTTTCATTTACCTGCCTTTTCTCCAAACGACAGCAATCTACGAAAAAACAAAAAACCTTCCCCATGACTCATCGTGGAAGTTGGGAAATTGAGCTTACTTTTCCAGAGGTTCCCAGAGTGCTCACACTTAAGACTGTGGGAAAGGATGCAGCTGAACAGTCGTATATGAACAATATGTGCTGAAAACCAGTTCCTCGTTGACTGTGGACAAATCACAAATTTCTAGTAGTCTTTAATGGCTCTGCTTCCTCTGTGGATTATGTAGGAAATACTTTGGTCTGAATAATTGTTCCTGAGGGAGAAGCCTTCAGAATAAATTCATGTTTTACACACACACACACACACACACACACACACAGAGAGAGAGAGAGAGAGAGAGAGAGAGAGAGAGAGAGAGAGAGAGAGAGAGAAACAGAGACACACAGGGACAGAGACACACAGACAGAGAGATAGAGAGACAGAGACACAGACAGACATACAGAAATAGAGATAGAGACAGACAGAGACACAGAGACAGATACAGACAGACACACAGAAAAATAGAGATAGAGACACACAGAGACACAGAGACAGGACAAAGAGAGACAGACTGTCATGTATACATGCCTAGTACAACTAAGAACAGTTTAGTCAGTTAGGTGTGGTGGCTCATGCCTTTTCTCTCAGCACTCAGGAGCTCGGGAGGCAGAGGCAGGCAGAGCTCTGTGAGCTGGAGGCCAGCCTTCTTTACATGTCCAGAATAGCCAGGACGACAGAGACCCTATCTTAAGAGGTTTTTTTTTTTTTTTTTTTTTTTTTTTTTTTTTAAAAAAGAACATACTTTGAAGGTAGCAACAGTATCTGATTATAAGCCATATCCTGTATGGTCTTGCTTATCACTACATTGTTTAAAACTAATAGCAATAGTGGACAGCTAATCCAAAGGCTAAAGTAACTAATAGCAGGGGATTCACTTTCCATAATGTAAAAGAAAACCTGAAAACTCTTTCTGGATATTTGCAGAAGAAATAACCCCATTATTCTTTAGCTGGAATGATCTAGGCTCTTAAATTAACAGTGGGTTATTTCCACTCTTCATTGCTGCATTGTGGACTGGAGCCATTCATAAAGAAACTCTGTAGAGGTGAAATGATACATTCCCAGAGTTCTCTTTGGTGGTTTTCAACTTGGAACTGTTGTGTGGTATAGATGCCAGGAGTGTATTTTTTGAAGCTATCTTTGCCTTTGTAATAATAATAACAATATAATAATAATAACAACAGATTTATATATTTTTGAAGTTATCTCCACCTTTGTAAATAATAATAATAATAATAATAATAATAACAATAATAATACAACCAATACTCTCCTGATGGTTCTGACTCATTCATAACCTACATTCACACTTTCTACCTATATCTGAACCCACTTTCCAACACTGTGAATAGGCAATCCATTGTAGGGACTGTGAATGAAGCATCCAATATTGTTCTATAAGACACAGCTAGCTTCACATAAAAGCTTAATAGCAGTTTCTCCTTGTAAACATTTTTACATTTATTGTTAATGTATATGTATATGGTATGTAGGCATGTGTGCCAGGGCACATGAGTAGAGGTCAGAGGGCAACTTCGTGTGTTCCTGCCATCTTTATGGGGGTTTTATGTCATCAGGCTTTCATGCGTTTGCTGTCCAATCAGCTCACCTATGTGATCTCTGTCCTTCCCCCTCTCCCTCTTTCATTCCCCCTTCCCCTTAATTAAGGTTAGTCCAGACCCAGAAAAACTAAGCAAATGAAATTTCATGTATATTTAGTGGGAAATAAATTAAGGGGAACGAAGTGATGTCTGTATGCTGTTAGGATAGTGATAACTGGGCTGTTTTCTGGTGGGTTGGGACATAGGTAACAGTTAACTTTGGAGGTGAAGTGTCTTTAAGAATAAGGACACACACGTACTATATTCACATTCTACTATGTAAAGTGGCCAGCAGGGTTACTTAGCACAGAAGGTGTGTACTGTACATGTGCAACTATTAAAATACAGCGCCTCTGTCTTTCTGTGTCTCTTTGTCCACCTTTGGTTGTCATGTCAAAAAGAAGGCATCTTTATTTTATATTTTTATTTTATGTTGCATGCAAAAGGGTTTTACACTCCTGGGCTACCTTCATCTTGCTATGTAGCAAAGGAAGACCTTGAACTTCTGATCTTCCTGCCGCCATGTTTATTGTTTTGTTTTAATTTTTGTTTTTGTTTTTGTTTTTGTTTGAGACAAGGCTTCTCTGTGTAACAGCTCTGGCTGTCCTGGAACTTGCTTTGTAGACCAGGCTAACCTCGAACTCACAGAGATCCGCCTGCCTCTGCCTCCCAAGTGCTGGGATTAGAGGCGTGCTCCACCACCACCACTCCACTTATTTTTTTGTTTTATTTTATTTTATTCTATTGAGGAGACAGGATGTTGCTGTGTAGCCCAGGCTGTCTCAAATTCCAGATCCTCCTACTTTAGCTCCCCAAGGCTAGGATCCTAGGCATATTCCCCTGAACCTCGTTTAAAAGGATGGTCATTATTAAAATGATGACTTGATTTGGGAATAGGGTCAACATTTAAAGGGATATTGTTGAGATTTTTGTCAGGGCAATATTCTGAAAGGCTCTTGGCAGCCCCTAATCACCATTAATTTCCCATATGTGCTTAGTAAATCAGAGGACTAAATACACATTTTTATGAGTCGTAAGCTTGGCAGATTCCTACTTTTCTGTGATACAGAATGAAGTTTAAGGTGGAGCTGCTTCCTCCCTGATTTTGGAGAATGGAGGGTTAACGATGACTCAAACTTGACAACCACTAGCGATGTCTGGAGTCCTGGTGTTTCTGGGGTGTTTGCCATGTGCTGCTTTGAATGAATGACTTGAGTGGGAATATTAAGAGTTTCCTTCCTGACTTGACTTCTTTCAGAATCCTAGCGCTGTCGACATTCCTTTACGGTAGCCTTATTTGAAAAACACTCATCTTATGTAGCAGGGCACATCTTTTAAGAGTAAGTAATCAAGTTATAAATGGAACACTCCAATGATGAAAGCTGCTTGGAAATGATCTCTTACCGTGAATTTTCTCGACCGTTGTAGTGCACTATTAAATGCATTAAAAAAAAAATCACAACACTTATCTAAGAGTCTAATTGAGAAGAATATTGCCTTGGGAAATTGCTCTGCCCAAGACAACTGCCGCTCTGTTTCTCTTCAGATTTAAAAACCCAAGTCCCGCTTCACCGTCTGCAAACAGTAATTACCTCTTGTGAAATGAGCTGAGGTCCTTAAAGGAGTCTGCCGGCTTCCCGGGATCTTTCCGGGGTGAGCGGGATGCGGGGCTGATAACCCAGCTGCTTAGGAACTGAGCAGGGCCGGCTGCAAACTCCTCAGCTGTTGACAGGCCGGCCTCGCTGAGAACACTGGTTAAATATAGCACGCGCAGCTCAGCCCCCCAACAAAGTCACCGCGCTGACAGTGTGCGGGAGCAGCAGAGGAGAAACCTAATCTCAGAACCCAACAACACCTAGCAACAGTTGAAAAAACTTTGAAACAAAAGTCGGGGTGTGAGATAGGCGGCTTCCAATTCCTGCTGATCCCGACTGAAGGAGAGAGAAGCTGCAGCTATTCTGTGCCGTTTCCTGTATGACTTCAGCGACTGGCTAGTTAGTCCCAGCAGAGTGGGAAAAGCGTTTTCCTCAGCCTTCTTTTGGGCTGGCTAGTTTTCCAGGACTCAGTCCTGGGCTGTGGGGCAAGCCACTGGGTTCTTCAAGGGATAAACCCTCCGAGAAAGGATCCATCTTTGGTAAAAGGAGCTGCCAGCAGGTAAGAACCCCCTGCAACCCTCCCTCCCCTCCCCAAGAAGATATTTACTCTGTTAAGAAATCTGTTTCCACAAGAAGACAATTCGCTCCAATTCTACTTTGTCTCTAATGCTTGGACTTCTCCTGTTCTATGATGGGACAGCACGTGTAGAAATTATTAGAATCTGTGTGAATTATTAAAAAAAATCAGAAACTTCTTCTCTTTCTCAGTCATAGCGATTCCCTTTTAAACACAATGTTTTGTGATTTCTTCATAGCGGTCAAGCTAGCCCTGATGAGTTATTCATGTTCTTGCAGGTAATAGGAATATGATGAAAGTCCAGTGCCTTTCACAACCAGGGTAGCTAAGCCATGGAGGGGACATTTCCTCCGGAGCAAAATAGCTTTCCCTTATTGAAAATAGCTAAGCAGCTTGTGTGGTAACTGAGGAGAGTCCTGTCTGGTGTTCCTGTGGCTGCGCTGTTGACCCGCTTCTTTGTGCCACTGCTGGGTTTGCCGGATTCTCTGATTGCGTCGGACACCTTGTGCTGGGTCTGACCTCATTTGCCTGCAGTTGCCCAAATGCTTCTGACTCGAACAAAATATGCCTGCTGCTGATTCGCTGCTTTTGCAGTAGTTGAATATTCAGGAGAATGTTGTGTTAATTAAACTAATTAAATGGAGTGATTGCTTTTGTGCGAGTATGGTAGATTCCACTTTAAGAAACTTAGACCGAATTTTTTTTAGGAAGAAAAAAAAATCCTTCCATAAGTTGCATGGGTGTGAGTGTGTTTCCAGTAGTATGAAGGAAGTTCTCATATCCTTTGAGAGTGTATTGTCTCCCTGTCCACGAGGTGACATGCACCTTAATCAGAATTGCTTACAGTGAACAAGTTCATGTTCAGTTTCACAGCTTGTGGCTACACACACAGCTGATGTAGTCAATATTGATTCCTGGTGGTCTGTAGTTGGGGTCAAATTTGCATAAGAGGATGGATTATTTCTTCAAATGATCCAGAGAGTTTGGATGAATAAACCTAAGGATAATATCAAAGAAAATACTGAAGAAAAAATTTTAAAAGAAAGTATTTTAACACTGGACATGGAGGCTCCTGCTTGTAATCCAGCACTGGGGAGACTGAGGCAGGAAGATTGCTGTGAGTGCAAAGCCAACCTGAGCTACACAGCAAGTTTTAGCCCAGCCTGGCCTATAGAGTAAGGCTCCACCTTCAAAATAAGGCAAAACAAAACAGCAAACCTGTTTGTGTCTATTTTGACAATGGGAAAAAAGAATTTCCATTAACCAGCTTGGAAATTTTTTTTTCTATGACAAATGAGAATATGTAAGCCTTTTTGGTAAATGTTCTATTCTAAGACTAGTCGATGAATGATTATACAGTTTGTGTTTAGGAAAAAGAAATAACACTGTTATTTCAATGTATATCATGTATATAGTTCTGATTACATGATTAGTTTGCAAAGTAAATGAAGCTAATCCAATGTAATCAACATATACAAATAATAGTGAGTGTGCATGCTGGTTGCCTCTGAGTGGGAGAGGGAACTTAATGGTACTTTGCTGGAGATAAAATATCGTTGTCTTGAAAGACTTATGAAAAGTCAGAACTAGATGCTCTACATTTTTCTTGTCTTAATCCTAGGAAGGGTCACATTGCTGGCTTCCACATGCCTGGGGAAGGCCAGAATCTCCCATTGGTTTGAGGCATTCAATTTTCTCTGGCTCAGTGAGACAGCTTTTAGATAACAGCACAGTGCTTGGCCCTGAGTGGAAGCCATGTCTGCTGAAGTGGAGTTTTGAGTCTCATTAATTGTTTTCATGGTTCTAAGTTTCCCCTTGAGAATTAAAAGGTGATAAATTAAACCACGTGGTTCCCTCCACTGTCTGAACAGAATAGCACACTCTGTGAATACACAGATCCATCCCCTGATTGATTTAAGTGCGTGTTTGTGTGCTGTTTTGGAAGTGCCCCCTCTTCCCTTTCCCTATGGGAGCACTTGGACTCTTGCTGTTCTCTTTAGCTCTTGTCTGGATATGCCACTGCTGCCCGCTTTCAGCCTCATTACCATCCAAACCACGCTGCTGGTGATCAAGGGACTAACTTTCTCTCCACTTTGCTGTGCATGTCTGTCTACACTTTGGTTTCCCGGGGCGGGGGGGCACTCCTTGTTGCTGCCAAACACCAACATTTTGAAAACCTTCCATCATCTGGCACCTACTTAACTTTTCCAGTTTCGTTCCCACTACTCAGCAGCAAGGTCCCTTGGCTTCAGGTACTTCAGGTTATGGACCATTCTGTAAACACAAGAGCAGTGGGTACTTTAAGACCTTGCCCTTCCTCATGCCGTTCACCTTGCCTGGGACACACTCTGCTCCTGTAGAGACCTTGTTTATCCTTTCGGACACAGACCATCGCCTCCCATCTTCACAGAGATTCTGAAGTGACTCCTTAGTTTGGAAACGCGGATGCTGTTTATGTTAGGGTTCCTCATGGTGGGCGTGGCCTCATTAGAGCTGGGACTGTTTTGAGAAATCTTCTGGAGTGCTCTGGAGTTTCTTGGCCCCATGTACACTGTGGACAATCTATTAACTTCTTAGGTTCAAGATTCCTAATATGAGTATGTGAGAGTGTATAAAATCAAAAAACCAACTAGAAGTATGGTTAAGAGTGTTTTATCTAAAAATTTTCTTAGTGAAAATCTTCATAGTTTTACCAATTTTAACCATGTTTACATGTCTGACTGTGGAGAAGATATTGCATACCTCACAAACGAAACCAAAAGGACATCTATCTACCTACTCCTGTATATGAACCTAGACTTCTAAACCTCTAAATTCTGTGATTCATGTTTTTTAAAATCATCTTTTAGGGCCAAATTTCTTATATGGGTACCTTTGGTCAATTTATTTAAATCATGACTCTTTCTATTTATGAGCCATGAATGAAAATCTGGCCATGAACAATAAAACATTTAAGATTTCATGGTCACTTTAGATATTTTCTCCCTAGATGTTTGAAACACAGATGATTCTTGGTACTACTTTCAATCACTCATGAAACCTGCAGCCTTGCTAAGAGACAGCAAGAATGCACAAGGCTTTTGAAGCTATTTGCTCTGTATTCACCAAAACAAAAGCATTCTCTTAATAGTCTAAGGTGGTTTTCTACTGGGATTTGTGAAATAATTAATATACTCATTAAGCAATGGTCTCCACATGGTTAATAGTTTTTAATTATGAAATGTTGGGGTTTATGCATTCTAAGCAGTGTACATTATGGTTTTCCTTTTAAATGAGCATTTCTCTTTAGAAATGTTTTTATTTTTATTATTTTCAATGTGTGTGTGTGTAAGAGTGTGTGTGCGTGTGTGCAGATACCTGATGAGGTCAGAGGTATAGGATCCCACTGGAGCTGGAGTTGCAAGCCACTGTGAGCTGCCTGATGTGGGTGCTCAGAATTGAACTCAGATCTAATGCAAGAGAAATATATGATCTTCCACAGATTTATTTATTTTCATTTATATGTGTGTGTTTGTATCTGTGTGAATGTGTGCCATATGTGTGACAATGCCTGAGGAGGCCTGATGATTCCCTGGAGCCCTGAGCTGCACACCATGACTGTTGGGTGTTGGTAATGAACTCTGCAAGAGCAGAAAGTACTCTTAACCATAGGGCTTCTCTCCAGTCTTAAGATAAGCACTTAAAAAAAAAGATAATAATGGGTATAATATGTGCCTCAGACTTAGAGTATTACAGAGTTTAATCTACACAAGTTACTTACTTCTCTAACCTTGAGTTTTTAAATAGAAAGCTATGGGTCTGATGGGCAAGCTTAGGTTAATATATACCTTAACAAAAATGCTTAAGAGAAAAATGATTGGTAACAACTTAGAAAAATCATATAAAAACCTACACTACAAATTAATTTATATAGCATTTTAATATGTGTCAACAAAATAAAAGATGAGCTAATGAAATAATATTTGTTTCCTTGAATCTGACAGAAGTTCTAATAGTAAGGATATAGTCATGGAAGAGGGATTGGGAACATCAAGTAACAGGCAAGCCTGGTGACCCAGACTCAGGTTTCAGCTCACTGTGGCCTTGGGCGGATTCCCTGGCTTCAGTTTCCTTACCTGAGACTTACAGTGTTTTGTCCTCGTAGTGTTGTTTGAAGATCGAAGAGCTAAAAGCATAGGTATGCGTCTGATAAGTTGTCCAATAAATTCAGTCTCACCTTTACTGTCACATTTTAAGTGTTTTGTTTATTATAATCCTAGTTGCACACAAAGTTCTCAGATGGCTTGTAGACTGAAACACACCATGGCAAGCAAGGGAGGACTCATTCTTTACCTTGGAATCTGGGTTGGGACGGAGTACTGCTGCTGGTCGCCCTAAGCAAACAGTTTGAGCAGCAGCCAATAATTCCCGATGGAATTTAGGCTGCTGCCTCTCCCCCCTCCCCCGTTATCACTCAGCAGTCCTGTGTCTTCTAGAGGCATTACTAAAAAGGTTAAGAAATCACCCACAGGATAGACTGTTCTTGTTTCTATATTTGCACTTGGAGATAAAATGTCTTTATACTTAGGGCTTGGCTGTCTCTTTCACAGCCAGCTAAGCCGGGTAATGCATAGCAATGCAGACTTCCATGGAGGGGATGATAGTGAATTTATTATTCTCTACTTCTTTCTTCCCTTAGATGATTTGTTTGGTTTCACTAACTTAGTAACAGATAACGTGAAAAGACCAAAAAAGGTCATCTTAGGCTAACTTCAACTTTATCAAGTAGAAATGAATTCCTGCTATTCATTGCTCTTAATCCTAGTCAGTCTTAAACATGATAAGAAAGTCTGCCACAAGACAAACAAAACCAGTGTCACATTACAAAGATGTTGATGCATATGCTGCACATTGTGTACACCTAATTTAACAAAATATAGGAAGCATTCTCATGGTAGTGGTTGGGCGGGGGGAGTTTCTAAGTAGTTAGAGTAGCAGGAAAC